ACCATAATGATGCTTTGGATTGTGCTAATCCTGGTTGTCACTGCCTATACAAGCAAAGCACGAATCTCGAGTGGTACCCTAAACATGATTGCTATGGGTTGAGTAGGATTTGGCTTCTAAACTCATACAGATGCTCAAATCCCAAAGCCTTAAACTGATGATACTAGAGAGTAGAAATTTAATCCAATTATGATTTTCAGTGGAAGCTCCCTTAGTTCATTGAGGTGTGCCCTCAATGCCAAATTGAATGACTTTTGCTTGTAAAAACTTGAGCTCAGAATGGCTTTGTGGAATAGCAAATTAAGCTGCTATCTGCAACGCTGAACATTCTATGGTTCTGGTTTGAGTCCTCTCTACAATCAATGTGGGACATCCAAATAAAGCTTCTGTTTCCTGACTTCAGCTTGGCTGCAGCCTGGTCATTGCAGCCAGTTAGGGGATTAATGAATAAATGGAAAAATCTATGTGTGTATGCGTGCGTAATTCTGACTTTCAAATAAATTGGTAAATCTTAAACAAAAAAAAAAAAAAAGAACTGAGATTGGGCTGCCTTGTTGTCTGCACTCCCTGGGCACTCTGTTCTTGATGTCTGCACTGCCGCTGGAGCCTGTCAGCAAGAGTGACATCACCAAAGGGGCCCAAATTTGGATTGTGAATTTATGAAACTGTGAGCCAAAACCTATGTAATTTCTTCAAAAAATACTTGTTTTAGATATTTCATTGTAATGATGAAAAGCTGTGCATAATGCACCAGATCAAGAGACCATCATAAAAGTCTTGGAATTTTAAGATACTATTACAAAATGTATAGCATCAACATTTTTGATGGTCCAAGGGATGATGGTGTCGAAAAACATGGATAGGAAGACTCTGAGTCAAATAGGCAATTTGAAACAGATTCTGAATTTGAAAACAATTCAAATATACCTCAAAACTATTTTCTTACATTTTCATGTCGAGTAGGGATGATGCATGATAAAATCTGTATCTGGTTTGCTTCCAAAGACCCATTTCAGTAAAATGGCTATATGAAAAGAATGTTCGTGTCATGGTTTAATTGGTAAAAATGTTTCTTTCTTAGTGGCCCATAAAATGAAGGTGCATCTGAAAATCAATGGCCTCTGAGATCAATGCAATGCAGTGATTGTTTTGGGATGATGGGTGGCATGGCTGCTCATGTATGTAAGTGTGGGTGGAAGTTGGTGAAAGCAATGTAAATTCTCATCTTCTCTAGTAGAACATCAATATGCATTTTCCACATTTGAAAACAAAATCAAGAAAAACCCTGTTAATGTATTATTTGGACATAAATAAAAACATTATATAAGCTAGCAAGGACAAAATGAATCACTGGATGGATTAAAGACTAGAAATTTATTTTCTTATAATTCTGATAATCAGAAGTTAAGGATTAAGGATGAAGTTAAGAGTGCAGGTTCCCCAGAGGCCTCTTGGGCTTGCAGATGACAATCACTGTGTTCCATGGCCTCCCCTCTGTGGTTATTTGAGTCCAAATTTTCTTTTATTAAAAGTAAACAGTTTGGATTAGAGGCTACCCCAATGATTTTGTTGAAATTCAGTTTTTGTTTGTTGGGTTTGTTGGTTTTTGTGTAACTGTCATCTTCAAATATGATCACATTCTGGCTTCCTGCGGATCAGGTCTTCACCGTCTCCGTTGAGGTGCAGTTGTGGAGAGAACACAGCCACAATAAATATCAAATCTTGGATAAATAGTTTCAATTTTGTTGGCCACTGATAAGGAGTGCATGATTTTATGACTTTATTTATTTGAAAGAAAGAGGGATAGAAAGAGAGGAAGAGGCACAGAGAGAGGTCTGCCATCTGCTGACTTATTCCCCACATGGCTGCTACAGCCAGGGCTGAGCCAGGCTAAAGCCAAATCCAGAAACCCCATCCCGCTCTTCCAATTTAGTGGTAAGGACACAAGTAACAGGCTGATGTTCTCTTGCTTTCCCTGAGATACCAGCAGGGAACTGGATCAGAAGGAGAGCAGGTGGGTCTTGAAATGGTGTTCTCATTTTGGATGTTAGCATTTCAAGTATTGGCTTAATCCTCTCTGCCAAGTCTTAATGGCAAATACAACAGAATTGATCCATGAAAGGGAAAAACTGATGATTAGAGGGGAGTGGAGACTAATGGAATGGATAGAGTAGTACCTCTAAGAATCCCAATGTAGAAGGGCATAACACCAATACCAAGTGTGGATTTAGGAGCTCTTACATGCTCTTCCGGTTTGTTTCTATGTTTTAGGGAAATAATAGGCAGTCATCAGCTGAGAGTAAAGATCAGCGAAGGATATTCATAGTTTGAGGAGAAGGAGGAATTGTGGGACAGGTATTTAACCAACTGTGAATGGAGTGGAGAGATGCTGTAAGATTGTTAAGTAAGAATGCACTGGAATTTAGTGCCCGAAGTGAAGGCAACCAGCATGGGGTGATTGATTACAGGCTGCTTTAAGAGATGTGGAGTGAGGAAAGGAAAACAGCTTAGTAGCTTCTGAATTGGTGCCTTGAACAGTGGGTAGACACCGGAGCCATAGATTCAGCAGGTACAGCTGGGGATGGGGGGAGGGATGTCCAGTTAGAGTCACAGGTGAAGCTTGGCCTCTTGAGATGGCATAAATTCAGATTTTAAGATTCTCACTGAAGCACTGTAAATGGACTGATGAGCAGTCAGAATTTAAATATAGCAGTTCTTGGTAGCAAAGGTAAATTGTGTTTTTTGATATAAATTCATATCCACAATGAGGCTTATTGTGATGTTTGTTGGTTATGAATGGGGTGTTGAGTAGTTAAGGAAGGGGACAGCAAAGATATCTGAATGGCATGGCTAAGGGGTTTGTACCATGGATGACACACGCACAGATGCTCTTACCTAACTCAAGCTGACAGGCTCTACAGACTATTGCACCTAGGGCCCCATCGTGTCGAGTCTAGTAGGTACATTGTGCTCGTACTGATTTCATTTGCTTAATGCCTATGATGGTTTTAATTAGGATTAAAAAAACACATTAATTTAATTAGATACATTTTTGAGTCATATGTCAATTGAATAAATTGTAAACTGGTACTGTGCTCTTTTAGCTTCTACAGTACATACAAATATTTCTGCTACACAGAAAGTACCTAATATTTATGTTAATTGACTGAATGGAAGTACAAAGAAAAATGTGGTTATCCAACTTATGTGTCAAAATCTATGACATTATAATTACACTTGTGCTTTGAAACAAATGATTGAGTGTTCTTTCAAATATATTGAAAACCTGATTCATACACATGCCATTTCCTTTCAAGTTTCTCAGAATTTTCAATCTATTTTCACCTCACTTTTTGAGGAGGTCAGAATTAGAATAAATGACAATTAGCAGAATTTCCAATTCCGATGTTCATCTCTGGCTTATTTATACCCACATGCCTAGATACTTAACAGACTAATATAATTTAATTGTGTATTAAATGCTTCATGAAACTAAAATCTTGAAACATCTCATGGTGGAATAATATAAAAATCAACTATAAAAATCAATTTATTTATATAATAAATTAAGACATGTGAGCATATGCACATTAGTTGAGAAAATGTTTTGAATGAAATTATACTAATATTTTAAAATACTATTCTACATCAAAGTTATAGTATAATGAAGTTAATAATTGTGACTTCATATGATTTCATAAATGATATTGAAAGGCAAAACTTTGTGATAATTTAAGACATAACTATTACATTTAATTTTATAATATATAGTTAAATAATATAGTATAGAAAATCCAATGTAATATTTTGATGATCATTAGAATTTATAGAAAATTCATTTCTTTTATTCTAAAATCTCTAAAATTAAGAGTTTCAGCATGTGAAACTCAACTTTATATTTTCCCATGAAAAGATTTCTCTTTTGTGAGTTCAGAATATAATGCTGTTGGGGACCTAACAAAAATTTCTACTTTGAAAATGAAAATGAGTGCATTCAGTAATGGCATTTCTAACAATTCTGTGCATTTATTCTTTTGTGTCTTCTCGGAAAAATGACTTAATTCACTCTCCAGGAGAGGTCATGTACAACAAGTCCAGTACAGAGATGGCGTTAAACTTATTGCTCATTTGTTACACGTGTTTATTTATTTACATTGTCTTCTTTATCACAGACAGCAGCCCACTCTGCTGTGTTTGGTGCACATCTTCTTCCCTCGCACCCCCACCTTCGCAGTGCCATCTTTTTGTTGTAGACACTATATCATTGTTGGATTACTTTTCCTTACATCTGTATCCTGTGGCAGCTAATCATCTGGTACACTCAAAGAGCTGTGTTATTAGAAAGGCAGTATTTATAACTATTCTGATGACAATTTCAGGATCATTCTGCTGTGTTCTAGTTGTGAGACTCCGATTCTATCACTTGAACTCTCAATGTCTCATTTATGAACTACAGATATAAATACAGATGATGACATCTGTATTAACATAAACATAACAATGAAATTAGTACAAAGTGAAATAACGAAGGCAAAACAGATTCTTGCTGAAAAGTTAATTACAATGATGCCATTACTGTCAGGAAATTCTGTTGGACTAGTTTCTAGCACTTATTCAGATACATCCTCTTGGACATTGTGGTGATCAGTGTTAGAGTGTCTGATTAGCCTAATATGATATTGAGCAATTCCCTAATAATTCAGAAAAATATCACATCATGGCACCTTTTGCTGGGAGTCAATTGGTCTAGGATAGGAATTGACACAAGCCGCTGACTTTCTCTGAAGTGGAACTAGAAGATGTGAAGCTGAACACTCATTGGAGACTTCTATGAACATGGTGCCATGTCGTGGCATTAGCTGGTAATAGAATGGATAGAAACAGAAAGCATTATTTCACTGCTTCCTGTTATGTTTATGAAACACCTGTTTAGTAATGCAACAACTGAGAACATGATGGTGAAAAAACTACCCAGAATCACTGCTTTTTTTTGCTTTTAGGATCCATCAGTGCATCAGACATGTCTGTGATGACATGGCTAATATGAGACAGGCCATGACGAAGTAACTACAAACAAGAGTGACAGACTGCACTAAATGGCAGGAAGAAAAAAAATGCTCAATGGAAACCTCTAGAGATGAAAGTTGGCATCACCTAGGGAATTGGGAAAGAAATCTGTAAGTCACACAAGATCATGTAACGCACTGGAAGGGTATTCTAGGTACTGAGGGAGTGTTGGGTAGTTCATAGGCAGGAAAAAGATGCATAAACATTAAAGCAGGGGGCCTGGTGCTATGGCCCAGCAGCTAAATCATCACCTTGCATGCACCAGGATCCCAAATGGCCACCGGTTCGTGGCCTGGCTGCTCCACTTCCCATCCAGCTTCCTACTTGTGATCTGAGAAAGCAGTAAGGGATGTATCAAAGCCTTGGGACCCTGAAGCTATACAGGGGACCTGGAAGAAGCTCTCGGATCCTGGTTTCGGGTCTGTTAAGCTTCAGTCATTGGGGCCACTGGGAGTGAACCAGTGGATTAAATATCTTTCTCTCTGTGTTTCTTTCTCTCTGTGTAAATCTGCTTTTCCAATGAAAATAAAAAAGTAAATCTTTAAAAAATGAATTAAAACAGGAACATGTAGCACATAAGAAACTGAAAGAAAGGGCAAATAAGGAACAGTGGTTCTGAAAATACACTCTGTACCCAAACTCCTTGATTTTAGACATCTACTAGTCACTAGCTGCATGTAGATCTCTGTGCAAATTATTCGACTACTCTCTGTGGAAATATTTAGGGGATGACACAACTTATATAATCACATCAAAGAGATCTGTGAAGACTAAGTACAGTTACATATGTAAAGCCTGTAACACCATGTGTTCAGCACAGACTAGCTGGTTGATGTCTAGTTGTTACAAGCTGAGAGTAACAGTAGAGGTTGAAGTGCTCAAAGTGCTAGAGCACTAAATTTCAATTTTGCAAATATCTCTATGTTGGTAGAATAGAAAAGAGATTTAATACAGCAAGATTAAATGGAGGAAGGGTGTCCAGGGAGCCACTAAGGTGCAATAAAAGGTGATAGGAGATTGGAAGTGACAGGTGGCACTGGAGAAGGCAGATTTAAAATGTTTGGCAAGCGAAATCTACAGTACTGGGAAATAAATTGGAAATTTTGTGTGAGATGATGATTTGGAGGGACAAGAAATCCAAATGGAAAAAATAATTGTAATTCATTCTTTTTAGTCAGTATCTGTTAAGGTAGTGCGGTGTCCCTGATCCTTCTTAAGTCTTACAAAGATGGGACCAAATGGCCAAGTGAACCCAAGTGTAAGTACAAATGTAAAAATGAAAACAAAACAAAAAAACAAAAACTGAGGTTCTATTGGAATTCCCATCATAGTTTGAAAATGTTCTGCTTCTTCAGATTTAAAATCAAAGTATGGAGGCTGATAATAATGTTGAATTCTTTTTTGTTTCTGTTTTCTTCTGAAATACTAAAGTAGTGATGTATCAAAAACTTTAGCTCTAAATAGATGGATAATTTATCTTAGTGTTTCACTCTTTTGTTGACACTCTCTTACACTTTGGAAAACAATGCACAATGCTGCATTTTTGAACATAAGATCATAATTAGACAAGGTGAGCATCTTTACAATAGCTATTTTATTATTTATTTGAGTGGAAGAGTAGAAAGATATGTGAAGTGGATGCTAAATTGTCTAGTTACTGATTCCCTCTCACAGACCACAACTGCCCAGTTGGGCCAGGCTGCAGTCTGGAGCCAGGAGTTACTTCCAAGTTTCTCATGTGGGTACAGAGGTCCAAGCACTTGGGCTATCTTTTATCCTATTTCCAAGTGCATTGGCAGGGAGCTGGATCAGAAATGGAGCATCCGGGACTCAAGCTGGCATCCATATGTTATGCCAGTATTGCAAGTGGTAGTTTAACCCACTGTACCATGGTACTGACCTCAGGATGAGTATTTTTGATAAAGCTCACAACAGATATTTCCCCTTCCTGGTTCTCACCAAGCAAATAATTCTCCTGTTTCCTGTAGGGTATTAGTTGAGGAGTGAAGTTCACCAGACTTTTCTATGCTCTTTGTCCCCTTCCGGGACACAAAGGCTTTCATCAGTCTGGAATGTTGAGGGGAAGAAACAAACACCCCTTCACAATCCTATTCCTAACAGAACACAAATCAAGTTAAAACTAAACAATAGCTTGAAGTTTCTGCAAATTGAAATTCGAATACATGGGGCCTTATTTATTTATTTTTATCTGAGAGAAAGAATTAAAGTAAGACACACACAGCACAGAGAGAGAGAGAGAGATATTCTACCTGTTGGTCTATTACTCATGTGCCTGCATTAGCTGGGATTGGGCTGAGAAGAAGCTAGGAAAGGTGGACTGAATCTAGGTTCTCTACATGAATGGAAGTGATCTGATCACTGGAGCCATCACCATGGCCTTCATGGAGTACAACAATGGGAAGGTGCTATTAGGATCTGGAGGTGAGAATCAAAGCCTGGCAGTCTGATGTGCAACACCAGTATTTTAATTGAGTGATTAAACATTATGCCAAATGCTAACCTCGTATTTCATTTGAATGTAAAATCCTTACTTTCGTAATAAATTGAAATATACCAAACACAAAGCAGTGATGAACAAGGTAAATTTTAAAAATTCAAATAAGCTTTGTGTCTTAAAAATTGAATCAAAATATGTGTTAATGGGGCCCAGCACAATGGCTCAGTGGCTAAAATCCTAGCCTTGAACACTCCGGGATGCCATTTAGGTGTCAGTTCATGTCCAGCTGCTCCACTTCCCTTCCAGCGCCCTGTTTGTGAACTGCGAAAGCAGTAGAGGAAGGCCCAAAGCATCGGAATCCTTGATTTCCATAGGGGACCTGAAAGAAGTTCCTGGTTTCAGATTGACACAGCTCCAGCACTTATGGCCACTTTGGGAGTACATTAGTGGATAGAAGATCTGTCTCTCTGTCTCTTGTTCTCTCTGCCTTTCCAATAAAAATAAAAACATCTTGATGATTAAAGAATAGTTGAAGTACAACCTGTATATTTTATTAAAATGATACAATTTATTGGTGAAAAGGAGAAAGGGAAGAGGGAAAAACACACAATCCTCATTTGGGAAAATTAAGGAAGAAAAAAATCAACCACATTATCAGATCCATAGCTTATGGTGAGAATGAGAATACTTGTTTCTAGTTTTAAAATTTATATTTTAGCATCAAAATTTGAAATCAGTTCTAAAGAATTTATTCTCTAAAAGAATTTTGAAATTCTAATTCCTATCGACACTGTACAAATCTGTTCTAAAAATTGGGATCATCCTAATGTTCATTAGTAGTAAGTATTTATATTATTCAGATTGAGTAACACTTATCCAGACTTTTCAGATTTCGAATTATTTGCATACATAAAAGGAGATATTTGGGAGGTTAGATTTCAAGCTAAAGCACTAAATTCACTAATGTTTCACATACATCTGTATACATAGCCTGAAGATAATTTTTCATAATATATTTATTACATTGTCTGTGACTGGTGAGTCAACCTGTGGCCATATGTCATTGATGAAAAAGCTTCAGATTTTGGAGCCTAACAAAATCAGATTTTCAGTCCTATACGTATATAAAGGCAATATGATATTTGCTTCCTATCAATACTTTAGTGGCTTAACATAACATTCACTTTATTATCTTATAGCCTTGTGGTTGAGAAGGATGTCACTGGTGTCATGGGGTAGATCAGGATGTCAGCACAGAGGCCAGCGCATTGACAAGCATGCTAGTCGTCTGCCTGCAGTGTCAGCTCCCCTCAAGAGGGCCAGTGTTGTCCTGGCTGCTCTAATTCCAGTGCAGCTCCCTGCTTATGTCCTGAGAAAGCAACTGAGGGTTTCCCAAAATCTTGGGCCCCTAGATCCATGTAGGAGATATGGAAGAACTTCTGGCTCCTGAATTCCCAGCAGTCCAGCTATGGCTGCTGTATTTATTTGGAGAGTGAATCTCTCTCTACCCCCCTTTCTATGTAAAATAAATTAAAAAAAAAAAGTAGATGCCAACACATCTACTTTCCACGTAGGAAAGTTTCAGGGAGAACCTGGTGCCAGATTCAGCCAGAATTCAGTTCCATGCAGATGCAGGATTAGATCATCATGTCCTTGGTGGCTTTGTCTGGGATTCCTCAGCTTCTAGAAGCTTCCCTAGTTACCATCATCTACAAAGCCCCAAAAGGCAGGGGAGGCTTTCCCATGCTTCTTTCTAACTTCCTCACTCTCATGTCTCTAACTTATTCATCCATGTTTCTTTGACTTACTGGGAACAAAGTTTTATTTTTCCTTAAGTGAGTTTCTTGAACATATCTACATAATCCAGGATAATAATAATCTTCCTACCGAAGGTCTATATACTTAGTTGCATTTGCAGAGTAGCTTCCCATGGAACAACATTGCATATTTACAGATTTGTATGTTATGTGTGTGAAAATCTTAAATGTGTATTATAAATATTTGTTTGAAACTTTGGAGTGCTCTTAGCATCTAAGTAGCTTTGTTTTTAACTAGCAAGCAATTAGAAAAAAAATTATAATGCATATATTACATTTTCATAAGATTTTTAAAATTATACTTATATTAGCTAACATTGTTTTATTCCAGAAATTGCGGTCAAATTGCATATGTGTGGGAACTCCCTTTGAAGTAAATGAGTAACATTTATTCTCAATAAAGCTTCAATTTTAACTAGGCATATTAGATATTATTAGCACAAATTCATTGTAAATTACATCCCAGATTTCATAAAGGGTTTATTTACCCAGCATTTGTTATATTTGAAAAGTTAACTGAGATAATATTAATATTAGTTTTATGAAATGCCCTGAAGTTAATGAAAATCTACTTAACAAGAAACAATTTTTGCTTTCTTTTGAAATATTCACAATGTACAAATACCTAATCCATGTTTAGATTGTACTTATTAATCTAGCCATTCTACATTTAATTTCATTGTAATGATGTGTGTAAATCCAAGCAGAATTTTAAATACAGGGGTATTAAATTTCAAACTTTGGATTTTTTATGTCATTAATTATGCTAAAAGGTACATAAAATTCTTTGTAATTGCCCAGCTTATCACTATTTTTATGTAACATCCTCTTTTAA